TGTATCATCTTTTGTTATGTGTCTCCTGCCATACTTTAGATGTAATATGTGATATAATGGTAGATCCAAGGGTGGAGCCAATAATGTTTCATGTCTTGAGCTATTAAATAAACATATAATTTTTTTTTAAGATCAATTATTAATTTATATATATGAATTTTTGAAGTTAACAATAAAGTTTTAATTCATATACACTACCTAAAAGATTAAAAAATAAATTTGAAAATATATAAAATTGAAATGAAAGTAAAAATAAATCCACTATTGATTCCTTTGATGTTTTATGAAATATAATTCATATATAATCGAATTTGAATCGATATTGTAACAACCTCTCAACCGAGATAAAATAACAATCTCATGTCAACTAAAAAACAAAATAATTATATTTTTTTCCCTCTTTCAATTCCTCATTCTTTCACTTGATTCTTCCTTATATTCATATTTTATAAGTTAAACTTTGTAAGTTTACAAAATTATTTTCTCATTTTTTTAATTATTTTCTTGGATTTTTTTATATGTTTTCCCCTTACTTTTCTCTCTTTCTCTCTCGTCTTTTATTTTCTATTCTGCTGTTGCATAGTCAGCAACATATGAAAGGAAATAATAGCTGATTTGTTTTAGTTTTTTAATGGAAAATAATCATTTTACGCTTATAAGTTAGACTTTGCAAGTTTACAAGATTATTCTCTCACTTTTTTTAAAAAAAAATTTTCTTGGATTTTTTTATATGTATTTCTCTTACTTTTCTCTTTTTCTCTCTCGTCTTTTATATTTTATTTTTTTCTATTTTGCTTTTACTTAGTCGGCAACATATAAAAGAAAAGAATAGCTGGTTTGTTTTATTTTTTAATAGCAAATAATCATTTTATGCTTAATGAGTTATTTTATTTTTATTTTACGGTTTTTTTTTGTTAGCACTACCAAGCTTTATTCATCCTAAAATTTTAACCATATTTTATTCAATATATTTTAAGATCCCTCATAACATTTAAGCTTAATTTAACGATCGGATTAAAAATTACATATAATAATATAAAACTAGTTAAATTGTATTTTTTCATTAAAATTTTGAATTTTTTCTAAAATTTTAAAATTTTAATTTAAGATAAAGTATCATATTAGAAAACTCCACATAAATTTTTAAAATTTTGTTAATAACAAAATCGAGAATTATAAATTTATTTTTATATAAAATTAATTAAAAAAATATTAATAAATTTTTAACTTCGGCTATAGCACATCTAAGCCTTGCCTCCGCCCTGGGCCGATCCATCAGCTCCAGCTACCGTCAATGTTTTTCTCTTCGCTCTGTTACTGCTCTCCATCTTCACTCTTCTGCTCTGCTCTCCGCTCTCTGCTGAAGCAAGTTCCACTACCGACCGTGCCACGTAAGCGGAAGGAAAGAACGATAAGAAGAATCTACTCTCGTATCCTTCTCTAAAATTCTGAATTCACAAGGATTTTTGTCGTTTAATCTGCCACGTGTTAAACGACATTATGTTCCCAGGGTCATGTTTGTCAAACAATAAACTTCAGGAAACGACGCCGTTGACCCCCGTGGAATGGATTTGATGAACAAAATAGCCCGGCCCAAACGTGTGTTTTTACCGAAGGGTTTTAAAACCCTAGCCTCCCTCTCTCGTTGCTTCTCTTCCCTTTCAAGGGCGCTTGATTTGCCTCTACCCAAGCAGTCGAGCAGCAACAGCATAACAACAATGGTATCTATCTGCCTATCTCCTTCACCGGGAACAAAGATAGAAAAAAATGCTAAGAACATTATCTTCTCTTACACACTCCATTGTATGTACGTAATTGCAGGGTATTGATTTGAAGGCCGGTGGAAAGAGTAAGAAGACTATTGTTACTGTTTAATGATATTATTGGTTTTGTCAATCAGGAAGACAAGATTGCCGTTGTTGTTGGGACAATAACTGATGATATTAGGGTTTATGAGGTCCCTGCTCTCAAGGTTACTGCCTTGAGGTTCACCGAAACTGCTCGTGCTAGGATTGAGAAGGCAGGTGGAGAATGCTTGACTTTTGACCAACTTGCTCTTCGTGCTCCTCTTGGTCAGAACACGGTATGCCTGCTTTTTTCCCTTTTGTCAATAATGTAATGGGCTGCATTTAGAATTGCAGTTTGGGTGGTCTTTGTTCACAAATATGGTAGCTAAAAAAATGTTAATTTGAACATGTTGTTGGCATTTAATGGTGAACATAAATTAGGTTGTAGAGTTAAAAACTGCTGATATGAAATTCCAATGCAGAGTTTTTTTTAAAAAGCTTGAGGGTCCCTAGTTTTATTCATTAGCACCAGCATCGTCTAGCTTGATTATTATTTGAAACCGGTATTGTGATTGAAGACTAAGCTAAAGGTTTGGCTTATCTCAGATGCTTCTTATACTGTTTATTGTAATTTGACAAGGGGTAATATAGCCTAGTAGTGTTAGAAGTGGGAAGTTTATCCCAGACATGAATTGTGTTTTTTTTTTAAAAAAGCTTGAGGGTCCCTAGTTTTATTCATTAGCACCATCATCGTCTAGCTTGATTATTATTTGAAACCGGTATTGTGATTGGAGATTAAGCTAAAGGTTTGGCTTATCTCAGATGCTTCTTATACTGTTTATTGTAATTTGACAAGGGGTAATATAGCCTAGTAGTGTTAGAAGTGGGAAGTTTATCTCAAACATGAATTGTGATTTACTAGATAAAACACATCCATGATAGTTGTATGTGTAAAGAAGCATTTGCTGCTTTCAAGAGTTTGAATATTCTATAAGTTTGAAATATGGTTCTCTTGTAATGTATCACCTTTATGGAAGTAAACGTTGTCAGTTTCCTAAAAAACTAACCACCAAATTAATCCTTCTAAATTTTGGGATGAACTTGGATTGTCCTGTGATGCTTTGATGTTTGGATTATGAGCCTGGCATTGCTGGTGGGTTTTGAATCAAGTTTGTTTGCAGGTTATGTAAGTACTCTTGATGCATTTCTCATTTAGATTCAACGATTTCGTAGATCCACCATGTAGGTTACAAGATTGCCTTCCACCTCATTTACCAACCATATAATCGTGGATGGTTCAATTCCTGGAGAAGCCATTTCCTCTATCTGTGTTCACAGTGCAGATGGTTCTCTTTTATTTGAGCATTAAGCTCTGGTTGCACTTTTACTCCACTTGCATCTATGTTTTCTTAGGATGATATAAGATGATGCAAGAACAGTGGAAGGAACATGATAAGATATGCTTATTAATCTTGAGCTTTCTTTTGAAACATGTATATAGTTTCCACTTTCCTAGACTCCTAGTTTTCAATGCCTTCCATGGTATGCAATATTTAACTAAGTATATTATTTGAGTAAGATACCAATGATCAATTTAAACTCCATGTTTCTATTTTGCATGTGCAAATGATTTTGCCCATTCCTTTTTGGTTTAACAAGAATTTGATTTGCTTCGAGCCTTGTCACTCTGAGGAATTAAGCATCATAGGCCAATTTACAGGTTCTTCTCAGAGGTCCCAAGAATGCACGTGAGGCTGTGAAACACTTTGGACCCGCTCCTGGTGTGCCACACAGTCACACCAAGCCCTACATACGGTCAAAGGGAAGGAAATTTGAGAAGGCTAGGGGTAAAAGGAATAGCAAGGGATTTAGGGTTTGAATGCTGTACCTCATGCAGAAAATACAGATCAGCCTTCCAAATCCAAGGTGGTGCATCTATAAGCTAATATGCAATTGGTTGTTTTATCTCTTTTTTTTCCTTGTCTTCTCATGTTGAACAATTACATTGTCTTTAGAAAGTTAAAAAGGTTTCAGTTTCTTTTCAATATTTTGATCTAAGCAAATGATTTTGTTTGTCAACTGGTAATTCATGGTTTACTCCTGAATTTCAGCAATGTTACCGTGCCTGTTGTCTGAATGTGGTTTAGGTTGTTGTGATGATTCTTTTCATTTTAGATAGCTTATTGAATGCAAACCTAAGGAGTTGATGTTGGTACAAAAATGGAGTTCTGTTAAATGCAAGAATTATGATTTCATAATTGTAGTTTGCTCTTAACGAATAAGGCCTTGCAGATCTATGATATTGGATGGCACTTGGACACTGGGAAGTTGTTGCTAAAAGCTAAACTTGCACTGTGCTGGGAGTTAAATGAGCAGTGTACTTGAAGGTCATCTACCACAAGCACAAGTGTCATGTACCTACCACAAGCACAAGATCATTTACAATATGAGTTTACTGGGGTGGATTTTAAAAGTGACCACGAAAACTTAAATAGAAGATTTACTCTTCGTTAAAAGAGAAGATGTACCTTCAGAAGAAATAGAAGATAAAAGCCAACTTGCACTGTGCTGGGAGTTGGATTAAAGTTATTTTTCAAATAAAATAAAAATAAATAAGAATCATCATCTTGATTTTTAGCTTCAGGAAATTTTTTTATTATGAGTTGAAAAATTGATGCGTGTTTAAAATAAAAATAAAATAAATTAAAAATTATATATGCAAATAAAATTATACATGCAAATAGATATTAGCAAATAAATGTTATGATTAAATTGGAAAGTTAAGTGATAGATATATATATTTATATATCTATGATCTTGTTTTGTGAGGAATTATTCAAATTCTTTTATTAAATTATATATCAATAATTTTTTAAAAGTAATAATTTAAGTTCTATCAAAATAAAATAATTTGCTAGTATAATTTTTTTAGTAGTCTATTTTTCTTATCTAAAAAACATAGTTTCTTAGCAATGAACATCATTTAATAAAAATCAAACGCAATTAATATAAATATTCAAAAGATTCAATAAAAAATAAAAAATAAAAAAATCTCTTTCTGTAGCACATCTTTTATCCTATTAATGCAATTCCTTTTTATGGCAATTAGTTTATCCTAAATTAATTAATATTGGTGAATTATAAATTACATCTAACCTCTTGTAGTTTTCATTTCTTCACTTTATCTTTATGGTTTAGAAAATTAAACTTTACATAATTGGTCAACTTAAAAATTAAAATTATATAAAAAGATAAATTTATTCTAATATATAATATAACACAAACACAAAAATATCAAGTCAATCTCTTTTCCAATCTTTTCCTTCTCTCTCTCTCCCTTCCATTCTCAATTAGGATTCTATAACTAATGAAAATCAATTCTAGAGTTTTTTTTCTTTCAGAATTTTCAAAAATCCTATGATAAGTAATATGGACTTTCAAAATCCATGAAAGAATATATTTACTTTAAAGCAATTTGTTCAATGAAACATCCCTGAATTGAAAAGACTGGAAGAACATAATAGATTTCAAATGATTGATGTATACACTAAAGTGAGATTAATGAAACTATTCACCTATTAGTCTACTTCTTGCAAGATTTGAAAATGATATATTTCATTTTTTGTTTCAAATTAATATGTTTGTGGTATTTTTAGATCATTTTGATTCGCTGATATTAAAAATAATTTTTTAAAAATAAAAAAAATATTATTTCGATATATTTTTTAGCAAAAAACATTTTGAAAAGCAATCACAACCACATTCTCAAGCAGACTAAAGGAACCAATGTAACTAGAAAATGTTAAACAATACATTGGTAGATAAAACTCACCAATTCATTTATAAGAGTAGTTGACAGACCAATGTGTTTTATACATGTTATTTTACCTAAAATCCATGAATAAATATAAGGTAATGACTTAATTTTAATGGGTTCAGCTATGCACTGAGCCTATATATATATATATATATATATGTAAGTCTGACGAACTACTAGACCTAACAATCTTTAGGATCAACTATGTTATGAACCCATGTATATATGTGTTTGGTAAGTTGTCAGATCCAACAATCTCATGGCTCAGCTACGTGTTGAGCCCATGTACATATGAGTTTGACAAGTTGTCAGACCCAACAATCCTTGAACTCATACCACACGTTGAGCTCACGTACATGTAGGTCTGATAAGTAGCTGGACCTAACAATCACTAGGCTAAGCTATGCGCTAAACCCAAGTAAATATGGGTCTGACGAGCTGTTAAACCAACATCTCTAGGATCAACATCTCACCAAGCCCAGATATATGTAAAACTAATGATTTATTTAGTCCTATTATTAAGCCGTAAGGCTCTATTTTTTTTTTCTCATGATTCTTAATATAAAATATTAATGTCAATGCTACTCATCTTTATACACTCTTAGGTATGTAAAAGTTTTCAAGAGGACATGCCACTTAACCCATATTAATGATGTTTAAGGGATATTTATCCATTTTTAATACTTGTATCAAGATATTTTTCTCCTATTAATGCTATTAGGGCAATATGACACTCTAGCCCCTCTTTTCCACAAAAGAACAAGACTTATGGACCATAAAGATCTTATGAATCATTCAATGAAAATAGCTTCATAATCTTCATTCTTTACTGTATATTTATTTTCAAAGTCTCTATCATTGTCTTTTCTTTTAAAAAAGATACTTACTTAAGTATTGAAGAGTATCTAAATCCACCAATAGGAACCTTTTGCAAGTATTGACTGCTAGTCATCATAGTTAATAAGAATGAGTCAAATTGTTAGAATCAAGAGATTAACTGATTATCCAAAACATAAGTCTTGCCTCTTAAGCTACTTGGATTTTTAAGGTATAATCAATAGTAGTTATCTTCTCTCCAAGCACAATCAAATGGTTTAACATTATTTATACATATTGAAGTGAATCGTCTACATTCTAAGTAATCAAATCTAGGGCATCCAATTCAATATCAAGATTCTCCTAATCATATGTTTTCCTCAACCTTGTTAAAGTGGTACTTTTAACTTCGTGATTGTATAGTATGAAACACCTAAATTTATTTCTACAATAACTCCATATTTAATTGTGTAGAGGAGGCACTTCTGACAATGTGGTTGTATAGTACAAAGCACATTATCAAGATCGATTGTTACAAATACAAACATAATTGTTGTTAGAAATTTATTTTAATTAACATTATTTAAATGAATTACCGGTAAATAAGAAATTAGTCTTAAAGAACTCTTAGTTTTCCTACTAAAAGAATCATTAATTTTTATAAATTTAATTCTTGATTTATGATGACTAATTAAAGATTGATAATGGTAGGAATTAATTATTCAACCTTTTATCTTCCAAAATTCATTATAAAAAAGAGGTGAAGGAAGAGTTTCTAACTTGAATTTTTAGATTTTTACATACTCTTCCTCACCTCATATTTTAGTGTTTTCTTCTCATTTTAAGCTTTGATTTTCCTCCCACATTTATAGCTTAGGTTCATCTTATTGAAAGATATTTGAGTTTTACATTTTTTGGTTCAAAGATCTTGTTTAAAAGTGCATCCAAATCAATATGGTATTGTTAGAATCTTGAGAGGTATATTGCAAACATCTTAATTGCACAAGTAAGAAGAAATAAAACTTTAAGGATAAATGATTCATTATTAATAACAACAAAAGTCTTATTACTTTAAAGCACTTCAACAATGTAGTACTCTTATTTTTTTATTTAAGCATAAATATTTTTATTATTAGTATGCATGCTAAGGCTTTGAATTAATATTAATTGTAAGTTTGGATATATGCTTAGTTTGCGTACTAGTTCTTTATTATTATGTTTTGTTAAATGCATGTTTGTTATGAGTTGCAAGCTTATAGATTTAAACTTGTAAGAATTCTAGGCTTTTCTTGAAAATATTTTTATGTTTGGCATGCATTATTATAATAAACTAAAACATCATTATTCACTAGTCTAATATTTTTACAGATTTTAAATTACACTCTTTATGGTGTTTCTTTAAGACATTTAAGAAGTGTCAACCACATCTTAGAGGACCTAATTGTCTTTCAATTTTGTAATAAAAAAATATTAAGAATTCAAAAGATTTAAATTTAGATATGTAAATTGATTTTATAATCAAAATTCTTTTTGGGTTTAGGTTGCCAAATTCCTACAAGTATAGCAGAGGTTAACGAATAAGGTTTTATGTTTGGCAAAGAAAAAAAGAGTGAAAATTTCTTTATTTTAACGTAACGAATAAGGTTTTATGTTTGGCAAAGAGTGAAAATTTCTTTATTTTAACATAGCATAGTTTTTTTTAGTTATTAATTAAAACAAAATGGCAATTTTATAAATAATTTCAACTTTTTTGTTATTTTTTCGTGCAAATGTAAAGTTCTGTAGAATCTATAAACTATGAGTTATAAAGTAGGCAAAATGAAAAATATAACTAAACTATATGAGACTCGATGTAATTTTCCCTAATCATAATTATAAAAGCAAATTTAAAAAAATAATGCCTTTATTATTATGTCACATATGTATTAAAAAATATATATGAATAATACTCATTGTCTATTTTCTTATTTTTCACTCACCACCAGTGATTGAAAATCATGCTTGTGTTTTTTGGACCAAAAAATCCATCTTTCAATTTAGTTTTATCAAAAAATATATAATAAACACCTTATAATATCAATAAATTAATTTCTCAATTTAAAACACCTTTAAATTAGTCTATAAACACAAAATCAAATAGGAAAAAAAAATCTTTCAACCTTAATTTATTTTCTTTGGTAAAATGAATTTATAAAAACACTTCAATGAAACTCCTCTCATAATATGAAATTTGTTAACATAAAAATTGGGATGTAAAAAGAAAAAAAATACATTATTGTCATGTTTTAATATATTATAATTCATCAAAAAATATTTACCATATTAATGTACAACATCTTTTATCCTATTAATGCAATTCCTTTTTTGGAAATTAGTTTATTCTAAATTGATTAATATTTGTGAATTATCATAATCATAAAAGCAAATTAAAAAAATAATATTTTTTTTATTATGTCATATGTGTATTAAAAAATATATGAGTAATAATTATGATTACTTTCG